CACAAGACATAATGCTTATATCAATACTATGGACGCAGCAGCTGTAAATCATTACAGAGTGACAGACGCATGCAGGCCAACTCAGATGTGTGCGGTATTGGCTTATTTTCCTCTACATGTTGCAGGATGTTGAGATGTCCAGCATCCCTAGCCCATATCTCTCAATGTCAGTAGGGTACCCTGTCATCATTACAACCAAAAATGTTTCCTTATTTCCAAAATATTCCCTAAATAGGAGTACCATCTTGTTGAGAATCACTGAAATAAAAAAAAAAAAAGAGGAAACAATAAAATTTATGGTATAACTTTTGGTGTTGGACCAGCTCCATCCCACTCCCAGTCAGAACTCCTGCCTGGTAACAGAGAGTTGGAGACTCAGTGATGTGGGACCACAGGGCAGGCAAAGTCAAGCAAAGCCATGAACACTCTTTCTACCCTTTTTTCCTCCTCTCTATTTGCTTCATTTTTCTCCTTCCTATACACTAGGTTTTTGACTTCTTGTCCACCTGGTGGAATTGCAATTCCAGGAGTCAGACCCTAACTGGCTTAGCCTAGATCAGGTCCAATTCCCTGGCCAAGTCTCTGGCATAACAAGGACCAGATTTACCCTCCTGCCTGAAACAACTAAACAAACAAAACATATGAAACAATGGGTTTTGGACATGGATATCAGGTAGTGCAGACAGTGATCCCTGAGAGAGGGGAAACAGGTGAGCCTTATGATGACCCCAGCTCACTATCAAGAGAGTATCTAGGCCACTGTACAGGCGGGGGGAACCCAGGTGAAGCCCAATGGTCTTTCGGAGTTGAGAAGGCAGAGCTGGAAGTCCAGGGAAGCCATGGTGCCCACAGGTAGCAGTACAGAGCACCAGAGAGGAGAGAGCTGGAGAGAGAGAGTCTCCAGCTGAGAACTGATCAGTGCAAGCCTGAAAGGACACTACTCAAGGCCAGGAAAAGAACCACCTGAGAGAAGCAGAGGGAACAATCCTTGGAGCTCTTACAAGGCCGGGAATAGTTTGTGTTCCCACCAGTCAGAATGGCAAGCTTTGCAATCCACAAGGTATCAAGTGGCATATTCAGAAGGATATTGCCTCAGTAGTTGGGGAAAATTTAGTCCTAAATCTGCTCTAATCTTGCTTACAAAGCTTAAAAGCAAATCTAAAAGAATCCAACTGTTTCCAAATAACTGCATCCCAGAACAAAACTCAAGAATATTAATAGAAATACAGAAATATCCAGCACCCAACAAGGTAAGATTTATCAGTCTAGCATCCAATCAAGCCCTTGGCCAAGGGAAGGAAGCAGAAAATGAGGAGGAAGAGACAATGCTTTGTCTAGCTTGGAAATTCTATGGATGCTACAGTCTCCATTCTCCCATCCTAAGGCTATTATTTTCTCCTTTATACATCTAAGTATCATTTGTTTTATTACAACAAGCGTGCATTACTACTGTTATTTTAAAAGACTTTGTGAACAAACCAACCAAGAAAAATGAGAATGACAAGCAGAAAGGAGGCAGGAGAGGTTCTCCAGCACTCCAAAACTGATGGAAGGTCTCTCCGTCTTTCCCCTGCTTCCTTCTCTTTCTCTACAAACTCTAGAAAGTTCTGTTTATCACTTGCCTTGCCTTCCCTTTCCAGGTTCTTTAGCTGGACACAGAATGCAGCTGCAGCATGGTTTTCAGACACGCATGCTGGCTTTCTGAGAACATTTTGCTTCTTGTTTTGGATTTTTAAAATGGCAGATTTCAATGTTTCGCGTGCACGTCTCAAAGAAGCTAAACACCAGCACCCCTCACTAGTGGTTCAGCTGCCCGGCCCTCTACCCCACGCCTTGGGTCGATGGCCCGTGGACGCGGCTGGTAAGGGCTCCGCCAAGCCCTGCCCCATTCGCCCGGAACCCACCTGCCCTGTGCCCGGGCAAACAGAACCGCAGTTTGGGCTGCCTCTGCCCAGATGGCAAACCTGTCCCACACCTCCACTTTCCGGCATGGAGTGGGGACAGCTAAGGTCTCCAGGCTGTTGATGAAGTGAGGGCAAGTGGAGGGGAGTCAGCGGAGTGCGAAGAAACAGAGAAGGGAGCGGGAGCAGAGGCAGAGGGCGAGACGGGCAGGTACGAAGACCACTCAGTAGCGAGAGGGAGAGGCGACAGCACGGTGGAGCGCCCAGACCCCAGCGCGGGAGCGGCGGGCCCGGGGAGCGGTGCGGGACGGTGCGGTCCGAGGGCACCTCGGAGGCCTCGCGCGCCCCCCTGGCAGCCGCCCGCGATGAGCGAGGCCAGCCGGCTGTGCTCGGGCTACTACAGCCTCAACCGCAGCTTCGTGGAGCCCTTCCAGTGCCCCCGGCGCGGCGAGGGGGCCGCGCTCGTCTACTGCTGCGGCTTCGCCGACCTCAAGTACTGCTGCAGCGAGCCGGGCAGCTACTTCCCCTACAAGCACAGCTACATGTGGAGCCTCAGGTGGGCAGGGCAGGGAGCCCGCGCGTGCGGGCTGGGCCCGGGGCTGGGGAGGCGACCAGCGGTGCCACGCCTGGGGCAGGGAGGTCGTCCGCGTTCCGGCCACCCGCCTTGGTCGGGTTCCTCTGAAATGACGCGGAGCCTCCGAGGACAGGAGAGGGTCCGGGAGGGAAATGTCGCCCCAGCTTGGAACTCCTCCGGGAGCCGGGACCGAGGCGAGGAGCGCGCGGGAGGAGCGCTAGCCCTGCGCCCGGGGCGCACCGGGGCCGCCCCGGCTGGCCCCGCTCAGTTCCCCACCCGCCTCCCCTATCCGACTGCTCTCCTGTCTCGCGGGGACCGGTTCCAGGCAGATGGCTCTCTGACAGAGAGAAGAGGCAGATAACTTAAGGGAGAGGTTCTATTCTTTTTGGTGTGTTTGGTCATTTAGTGCGTTTGAATAAAAAGGAGGCTCCTTTGGGATTCCTTTTAATGCATTAACCTAGGACCGGAGAGTATTTGAAGTCTCCTTGCGCGTGTGAAGGAATTGGATGTATTCTTTAAAATATCATTAGTAAGTGTGTGCCTGCGTGTGTGCGTGTGTGTGTGCGTTTGTGTGTGTGTGTCTTCCTGTAGGTGCGCTCAAGCGATGGGTCTTTATAACTTGCCCTTTTCAGATGATCTGACACTAACCCCGAAGAGAACTGAAGAGACACCCACAGAGAGACAGAACTTTTAGTTGCTATAATTACACACTTTAGAACCTTTCCAAGACAATCACTTACTCAATACCTGAGCCATTTGGCCATTGCTAGAAAGTGAAGAGACTTTCTAAAAGGTGTAGTCTTTCTTGTTTCTTTTTTCTATGATGGGAATTTTACTTATTCCAGCTAGTATTTACACAGACCTATTCATTATGAAGTGCTTTTTCTCCCTTCCACTCTAAAGGATTTCAAATTTTGAACTTGCTTCTTTCATTTTGCCTGGAGAATGAATGGGGTCCCAAGATTGTAGGAAAGAACTCCCACCGCCACCTTAAGTGTTTCTTACAAACATTAGCTTATTACTGAGGGGGTGGGCGGGGGAGAGAGAGTGAGAGAGAGATTCTGCTAGTAAGAGGCAGATTATTATTTCTTGCAATCTCCTAGCATGACCCAGAATTTGGCACACATGCCGAGTCTATAGCAAATGACTAAACTTTTTTTCTTGAAGCAATAAAATATTTGTTTCTATATTTCAAGCTTCAAAAATGTCTCAAAAAGAATGCCTACTTTCAAATAAGTTCAACTCACAAAGTTGTGTTGTGCTGGAGTGGGGCAAAATATCAGAAAATAATGACAACACTAGTAGATTATTTGGGGAAGAAATCTATATTGCACTGACATATTATCTGGCTTTTTGGAAAATAACACAATATTCTGTATCTGAGTCTTTGAAGGGATTAATAATGGCTGAAACACCTCCAATAGGAACTGGCAAATCCTAACTCAAACTCAATTGGAAAATGTGCCTGGGATTCTTAGAGCCCTGAATGGTTCTGAAGTGACAAGCAGCAAAAGATATAAAACCTTCCATGAATTTGTGAGGGCGCAGAGAAGTGAACAGTTTGCTAGGGTCTTCATTCAGCACTGATAAACTGGACAGTGCAGTCCAGTTCCTGGAAAATAGAAAAATCATTTCAACTGATGATGTCAGTTGGCAATGTTAAACCTGGGGTTCCTGTGAGTTATTGAGCTCTGAGAACACAATGGGAAGGTAAATTTATTAGATCTTCATTTCCCTCCTATTCTTTGTTCTCCACTCTTTATTTAAAATAGTCCAACTGTGGAAAATATTCCAGGAGTCACTAGCCCTTGTTTTGAGATTCTGCCGTGGCTGGAGAAAGGCTTTAGTTTTAGCTACCACAAGGTAAGTGAACATGCTTAGTAGCAGAATTGCTGCATCAATGTGATGACAGCTTCACATCCTCTCTCAGGGTTTGAAAAGCAACAGCTGGATAGTGCTGCAAGGAAAGGATAATTCTCCCTTTCCTATGTCTGGCCCACTCCCATCTTTTCTCCTCCTATAAATCAATAAATTGTTTGGCTAATTTCCTTTGGTAACCTTCTCCAGGACCTAGGAAAATAATGCGTATTGGACAGAGCTGTGCATGAGTGGATATTCAATAATTATTTGCTGAAATGAATATTTTAAGAGACTTTCAGAGCTTCATCTTTACCCAGAGTCTATACCTAGAGTGTTGCATGCATAAAGCAACATTTCTGTAAAGTGGAACTGTGACATTGAAACAGTTAGCCAAGATTATGAAGGACATGCTTTTGTAACAGAAAGCTGAAGTGGCAGGCTTTGTTTTTGTTTTTCCTAGATAATTGCGTGGTCTGGTTTTTTTAATTTGTACTTTAAAAGCTCACAATATGTATGTCAAATTTAATTAAATTGACAATTTTACTTTTAAATTAACTAAATTGCTTTTCTACTTTGAAGATTTTTTAATAATTGGGTTCTTGTTTCAGGAATCTTTCCAGATGTCTAGCCTCCTATCTGCCTTGTGTACCAGATAATATTAATTAAGTGGATTACATTCCCGTGTGTGTGTGTGTGTGTGTGTGTGTGTGTGTGTGTGTGTGTGTAGTGAAGTGATCCTAACCCTCCCTGACACAATCTACAAACAAGGGTAAAAAAGGAGCTTCCAGACTCAGGGAGTCTACCCCTTAGAAGAGAGTGCACCAAGTGAGGGCAAAACCCGAGTTTAAATATATAACTTTATACTAACTCGAGCCATAAAATTACCTAGTCTTCACTTGTGGGCAGGACTAGTGGAATGGACTGACATTAATATACCAAGCACAAGAATCTCTGGAAATCTGACTCCATGTGGGTGTCTCAGGAGGCAATCTCTTACTTGCAGGGGGGCTTTATCTCCTCAAATTGAGGATAAGTGGGGTGAATTGAGCCCTTCACTTTCAATCCTGTTCTCCTTCCTCCCAAAGCAGCAATGCTCCTAGCATCCCTGGTCAAGTTCTCCCTTCCCTCTCTTTTGGTACAGGTCAAATTTGTCAGGGACCTAATCCCTAAGAAAGAGAAGAAACCTAATGGCAAGCCAGGAAGATAATAAAGAAAAAAATTATTACTTTTCAATGTCGTATTGTCCAAATTACTACAGGTAGATCAATCAGCAGTCAATTATTATTTACTTCCATTTATTGAACATCTTCTACAAGATAAGCACTTGAACACTTTTAATGTCTGTACAACATTGTGAAAAAGTCAACAGAAATATCTGTCTTGAACAGCTTAAAATCTAGTTGTAGATATTTACACACACACACACACACACACACACACATGCACACAGTTGCAGAAGTACATATGCTTGCATATAGGCCTTTCAAGATAATGCCTTTTTCCCAACCTCCTTTCTTATGTAATAGTATTAAGTTCTCAGGTTTATGAAAACTATATTACCTCTCAAATGATTAGCCTTATGAGTAGCTGCACCAGAAGAAATTATTATAAATTTAGTGCATAGCAGATACAACTGGACATACATCTTATTTTTAGAGGAAAGCACAAGGGTTTCTTCCTTAATGCCAGAAGCTGTTGGTGGTATGCCCAAAGAAAAGAAAAACTCAGACCAAACAGGAACTTCACACGAATTTCATATATACTGTTTTCCTTTAATTCAGATCTTTTTCTCCTCTTTTGTAATAGTTGTGGTTTTATATATCAATAAATGATATATTGCATATATGTTTCTGTATGTTTCCAAAAGAAAAGTTTTATATTTTTGGTAAACATTTGCTTCCCTACTTTTGCAGAAGCAAATATTTTTCTATTTATCTTTTACTGGTAAACCTGATCTTTCTTCCTAAGGTATATTAATAATAGAGGTCTATTGGATTAAGATGTTTTTGAACTATCTCTAGAGAATCATGTGATCTTTTATCTGTAATATGAATTCACATGATCCTCCCTACTAATATTAACATATAAATTTAAAAGGAACAGAGAAACCTGTAGAGAAAGTAAAACAAGAATTTGATGGTAGAAAAAGGTGAGCTGTAGATTTCAGTCATTTACTGTTCATGCTAAAATATAATTTGGTTATGAATAACTAAGAACAAGAATTAAGGATATACAAACCTTCTCTTTAGTTTATGTGCAAACCATTTTGTATGACATAATGTTATTTTCTATTTTCTTCAGCATTGGTGCCCTGATTGGATTGGGAATTGCTGCCCTTGTTTTACTTGCCTTTGTCATCAGCGTCTGTGTCCTTTGTTATTTATTTCTGTATACAAAGCCTCAAAGATTAGACACTGGCCTTAAACTTCAACACCTAGAGGCTTCTTCTACTCAAGAAGGTAATCAGTATCCATTATTTGCAACCAATTACCTGTACTCTTTCCAAAAGAATAACTTGTACCTGGGTAAAAGATCATATTGTTAACAATGAATGCCTTTTTAAAATGCAATTTATTATGTGTCTTTGTAAAAATTCATATTGAATCAGGCCTTAATGATGAAATGCCTAAGGAAATTGTGCTCAAGAAAAAAAAAGCTGCAGGATATAAATGTTCTCATGAAAGGTACATCATTGGTCCAGTAAATCCACTTAAATATATCTATGTCCCTTTCAGTTATCAAGGTTTATCCTCTTAAAATTCTTAAATTTTGTTTTTGGATGGAGCCAAAGAAGTCAAATAAATAGTGGAACAAAATATCTGATAAGTCATTTTCAGGGTTGCATTGCTCCAGATTGGTTAGTTAGTGGTCAGTTGAGAATTTACCTGTGTGCCTACTATGTGCAGAATTTGGAGGAGGCATATAAAATAATTCAGAGGTATGTAAAGCAAATATAAAAAATAAGTAAAAGGCAGTTTTTGTTCTGTATCATTGAATAGATTAGAAACCAGTTAAAATATAAGGCTGTGTGTGTGGTGTGACTATAAAGTAGAAATGAATTTTTAGGTATGGTTTGTGGAACTGGGTTGGGTCTCATTATTATCTCAACTATCAAGTGCTGTATAAATGCTAGTTGTTATTTTGAAATTCAATCAGAAAGAACTGTTAACATTTTTGTGAATATAAATTTCTATTTGTGTAATAAAAAGCACTAATCATGAATTCATTTTGAGGTACATATAAATTTAGAAGGCATATTACAGGAGATGTAGAGACTATATATTTAGAATATAAATTTAGAATCTGTATATATTTAGAATGACACACAAGTGTTCACTTGCTTCCTTTTAAAAAGAAAACGAACATTTTTATTCTTAAAAAATTGAGAAAAGTCCCTGCCCATATGTTCTATGTTAGCCAAATCCTGGAACTCACCATGCTTTTAGAGTGCGTGCTCTGTGACCTTATCCAACACATCCTCACCACATGATTGCGTTAGCTCTAGTTTCCTTCTCCGTGGGGGAGGCCTCTTTCACAGGGTATCCTGGAGTTCTCTTCCTCAAGCACAGTTTGGAAATTGCATGGCCAAATTGACAGGTTGGTAACTGACTTTAGTTCGAACGACTTAGACCCCATTTCTCCACAGGCAAAGTGAAGCAGTGGATTAGTGATTATAAAATAATCAGGTCATAAAATCAATATCTGTCTCCATTGCTTAGATAATTTAAAGTCACAATTCTTAAATTTTACTGTGACCTATGGGGACTTTTGTGGTCTGCCTTCTTCACTCTTATTTCTCTCATCTCCTCATGTCTAGCTGCATTGACCCCTTTGCTGTTCCTTGAAATTCCTGTCTCAGGGCCTTTGCACATAGTGTCACCATTGTCTATGATGCTCTTCCCTCAGATATCTGCATGACTTAACACTTTGACTTTCTTTAAATCTTTACTCAAAATTCATCTTCCCTGGAATTCTTCCATGGTCACCTTATCTGCATTTTTAACTCTTCTTTAACATTTCATACCCCATTCCTCCTTTATTTTCCTTCTAAGCATTTACCACTAACACAGTATATATTTTACTTATCTATTGTCTAGCTTTCCTTCATTTCAACTAGGAACTAAGTTCAAGGAAAGTAGGAATTTTTGTCTTGTTTGTTCACTACTGTATCCCCAGTGCCTAGAACACTTAACAAATACTCCTTGAATGAATCCAATGGAGTAGCACTGCATCTCTATGGTAGATGACTGCTGTGGTTTGAATTGTGTCCCCCCAAAGGTTAATATGTTGGAGGCTTGGTCCCCACTGTGACAGTGTTAAGAAGGTGAAAAGTTCTGTTATGGTAATTGAAAGGCGGGGACTTGAAGAAGTGATTGGATTACGAGGACTGTACATTTGGGAATGGATTGACCCATTCTTGGAATAATGGGAGTGGTTCTGGTGGATTTAAAAGAAGAGGGAATTAGGAGGTTAATCTCTCTCTCTCTCTCTCTCTCTATTCCATCATTCTGCTATGCGAAACCCCTGTGTCACTGTCACTACTAAAGTTCTTCCCAGCCTCCAAAACTGTAAGCAATGAATTTCATTTTCTTACAAATTACCCAATTCCAGGTATTTTGTTATAAGCAACAGAAACATTAATACAGTGATCAAAGGAGTGTAATTTGAGAAACAATGACAATGTATTGTCACCATTACAATCATCACTCACTGAGTGCCTCTATACGATGTACTGTGCTAAATAAAAATTGGTTATTTTTCCTGATTTAGCTCAGGGACTGCTCCAAAATTTTATTTCATATTGGCTCTGAGAACCCAGCAACAGAATTAGTTCACTTGTTGATTCATATCTTATAATTTTAATGCTGTTTAGCTAAGGAGGTCCATTTAATGCACTTTCTATATAGTCAGCTGAGGCTGCTTTCTTGCAATGAAATATTCCCACCCTGCCCCCTCAAAAATATTGTATTTATTGAGTTGGCAAATTAATTTAATATACCTTTCTTGAATGCTTGCTATTGGTAAGGCAGGATCTTATATGATCAGTGCTTTCCCACTGTTTTCAAATGATGTGACTGAGGTCCCTTAAGTTGATTTTAACCAAATCAGACATAGTGGAAAGCCAAAACAAAATAGGTAATCCAAATGTCACTAAAATAGGAGGAGAAAATGGTTTATACTTGACAGCAACCCTTTGAAGTGATAATTAAACACTGCTTACCCTTTATTAAATATGCATGTTTTATTCCAATGATTCTCCCACCTGGCAATAGATTCCAGCATTCTAGCTATTGAGAAAACAAGTCTGGGGCTTTACTGCATTTAAGGAATGTCTTAAAGGATAGGAACATAATAAAATGTTTGCGTAATAAGTCAAGCAAGTACACCTTACATCAGAGAAAAATTGGTTTCATCTTTCAAAACTATCTGTTCTTAAGAATCAATCACCAATTATTTTAGATTAATTTTTACAATTGAAACTGTTTTCATTACAGGCATTTTGAATAGCCTAAATGGAAACATGTTCTTGTGCACATACTAAACTGACTTAGAGTGCTGGACTTTTTTTTCTCCTGTAAATGACGATAGTCTGATTTTAAAATAGTCTAACTTTAGACTATTTTACCAGTATTTTTTCCATAGTGTATCTTTATTCTATTGGATTTCATTTTTTTATGTATACAATTTCAAGCTTTACTCATTTTGAATTGCTCTTGAAAAAAACCAGGTCGTTGATAGAGACCGTAGACTTTAATTGGACTACCTCCAGGGCTCACTCTATACAGAGGACCTACTGCTAAGCAATTGATTGGCCTTTAAATTGTGTCCCATAACCATTTTCTTCTTTTTTAACTTTTGTGTTTTGGATTATGGACATTTCAAATGCCAGTGTTTAAAAGAATACCATGGCTTGTAAATTGTCTGTTATAGAACATACGGTTCCTGAGAAAAAGATGACTGTGGGAAGGGCATCTTTCTGAGTAGATGCTTCTGAAGGTGAGGGCTCATTTCACAGGTTGTGGAAGAATTTATGGCTAATAGAAAAGCGAAAAGCAGTTAAAGGGGTAAATTTCACAGGTTGTGGAAGAATTTATGGCTAATAGAAAAGCAGTTAAAGGGGTAAATGTCTTAGATCCCTGCTTCTCAAACTTTTCCATTGGAAAATCCTTAAAGACATATAGAAAAAGGAATTGTGTCCCCAGAATTCTAAGAGCTAGAGTGAAAAGACCTGCCTTGAGTATTACAAGCTTTAAATTATTTGAAGTTTCTCATTTTATTTTTAAATTTTATGGGAATTTTCAACTTGAGTGCATAATATAATGGCTTGCTTTAATAATAACATCTTCTCCTTCCCATATCTGAGTAAAATTGATGTTCCAGGAAGATAAAGCATATTCATCCTGTAACTTTGAATATCCATTGAAGCAAAGAGAGGGGCTCTTAAAAGCAGAGTTTTTGATAAAAATTAGAAGGGCAGATATTAGTAGAGCTGCTTGGCACAAACAAAGTAATACAGTTGTATAGGAATAATAAACAACCACGAGCCTCTATTTGGTGGTCTTTGTGGTAAAGACAGATGATATAAATGAAAAAGGGTAAGTAAACTAGCAGTAAGGCACAGTTGTCTTGGAGAAAAAACAGAAATTATATATAGAATGCTACGGAAGAAGTAAATTTGAAGATTATTTAATCATTTACTCTGCTTGTGAGTGAAATAGGACTTGGATTGGCTCAGAATGGTCTACCGTTTTTCTTTGTCGTAGAAGACACCCTCACTCCACCAGAAAGAAAACCTTTCTTTCAATTCACGTTCATTGCAGTAAAATTAGAAAATATAGAGAAACAAACAAACAAACACATAAACAATGTCACTCATGATCCCACCACCCAGAGATAACAGATATTAACACTGTGGTGAATATTCTTCATGGATTTTTTTCTGTGTGTGTGTGTGTGTGTGTGTGTGTGTGTGTGTGTGTGTGTGTGTGTGTACCACAAAATGGGGAGGAATGGGACTTACAACATGCTCTTTTTCACTACAAAATATTGACATCTTTGTCAATAAATAAATACATTTGGCATCATTTTTAATGGTTTCATTTTATTACTTTAATGGAGTACCATGATTTTTAAAAAATTTTATTTTGACATAATTTCACACTTCCAGAAAAGTTGCAAGAAAAGTATATATAAACTTTTCATACATTTTCCCAGATTTACTGTTAATATTTTGCCTCCTTTGTTTTATCATTTGCTCTCTCTTTATGTATATTTTCTGAACCATTTGAGGATAATTTGCAGATATTATGTTTTGTTAACCATAAATATTTTAGTGTGCATTTCCTAAGAACACAAATTTTCTCTGACATAATCATAGTACATTTATCAAAGTTAGGAAATATTACATTGATACAGTAATATTATCTAATCTGGAGTTCATATTCAAATTTTGCCAATC